AGAAAGATAGAGAAAAAGGGAGTGCTGTAATTTTAAATACCCATCGTTACTTTTATTTGTAGCTTTCTTTACTATGAGGAGTGGCTGCATTTGGGAACAAGATATATCGACTAATTTTATAGTTTTCACTGCAGATACAGATTTTGAAATTGCAAAAATTGTATAAGCAATCATAGTTGAAAAATGTCGTTTAGTTTTTATTTCCGCTACATATACTAAGTGACATATAAATCTGAACACCCAGTTTAAATGGTTTTATTTTAATAAAAGTTGGTGAATGTATTTATCTTACTGTAAATAACAAGTGAAAAAATTTTCAGCCTTATCAGTTGGACATTCCGGTTTTTATACTGCTTTTTTTTAATTCACTAACGCTCTAAAAATGAATATTTCAGCCGCAGTAAAGAATCAACGTTAGCGCATTTTGGTTCTTGACATCCTTTACGATCGGTTACGATGCCTAGAGTACGGAGACTTGTACGATTTCGTCAACTTAGTGAGTTTGATAGGGGCCGTATAGTGGGACTTCGGGAAGCTGGACTTTCTTTTCGGGCAATTGCAGTTAGAGTACAAAGAAGTGTAGACACTGTGGTTAGGTGTTGTCAGGCATGGCTTCGAGAAGGCCGTACGCAAAGAGCAAGGGGTACTGGACGCCGCCGTAGAACAACAGACCGTGAAGATCGCCGCCTAAGATTATTGGCCTTAAGGGACCGTTTCTCCACTACCAGGTCCATTGCAAATGAATGGTTTGCAGAACACGGAAGACCTATTGGCATGCGAAGTGTTTACCGACGAATGAGAAGTTTTGGCTTGTTTTCATACCGGCCACACTGGGTCCTCCCTTTAACTCGAGAACACCGACGAAATCGCCTTGAGTGGTGCAGACAACGGTCACTCTGGGATCAGGAATGGAACAGTATTGTCTTTAGTGACGAGTCTCGATTTTGTTTAGGCATGCACGATGGTCGTGCTAGGGTTAGAAGGCGACGTGGTGAAAGGAGGAATCCACAGTTTTTTGTTGAAAGACATGTTCATCACACTGTTGGAGTTATGGTTTAGGGTGCTATAGCTTATGGTTCCAGGTCACCTGTAATCTTCATCAGAGGTAACATGAACGCGCAGCGTTATATCCACGAAGTTCTACAACCCCATCTTTTACCCTATCTTGACACCCTGGCAGATCCAACTTTCCAACAAGATAATGCCCGACCACATGTTGCAAGAGTCACAATAGACTTCTTTCAACATAATGATGTCACATTGTTACCATGGCCACCAAGATCTCCCAACTTATCCCCAATTGAGCACGTGTGGGATATGATAGGTAGGAGATTGCTCAATTTGCAACGTCCTCCTCAGACTCTAGAAGCACTTCAAGAGGAGTTGGTGGTTGCCTGGAATGAGATACCACAGGAGGACATTAACCACCTGATCAGAAGCATGCCTAGGCGCGTTGGAGAGTGCGTAGCACATCAGGGTGCATTCACACATTATTAAAGGTCAACGGGCTTTAAAGCAGTGCAATCATTTTGAAATTTTTATCATTTGCTTTATGCTTCATTAAGTAATTATACAAAATTTTATTAAAATAAAACCATTTAAACTGGGTGTTCGGATTTATATGTCACTTAGTATATATCGAAAGTTTCACTGATTCAGAAGGTAATTAGAATCAAAGGAAGATAGGAGGAATAGTCAAAAAGAGGATTAGACTAAACGGAGTATTAGGTTGTTTGTTTGAAGAAAACTATATCCGATCATATGGTGAGGTTCTTCACATATACAGGGTGATGATTAAGTATGTTCCAAAATGTTAACAGACGATTCTTTCTGTAGTTTTAGGACAACAAGTTCACATACTTAATTTAGCGGTTCTTTCTGGTCTAGATGTTATTTAGTACTTGTTGTTGTTGCATAATTTGTAAAAAAAAAAATATAAAGTTTCTAAATGAAATGTTTTCCGATATTCCTTGTGTAGTCCAGTGATATGCAATAAAGTGGATTTTTTCCTCGAAAAGTAAGCAACTCACGAAAATAATTCAAGAGACAAAAAAGTTGTATTTCCATTTGTTTGATCCAAAGAACACAATAAAAATTGCACTAAGGTCAGTGGCGTACGTTTTTATTTAATGTTAATCAAATTAGGGCTAGAATTAATCTCACCGCCAAACTTTAAGGCACATACTTAGTCAACACCTTGTATACTGTAATCCTAGGCATAATTGACAATAAGATTATAGGTAGTTTTAATTTACCAATTGTGTCACAATTTCTTCTTGTTTCCTCAATCATATTCTTATTTTACTTATATCTCTATGTTCCTAGGCGTCTTTTTGTCTGAGTGGTCCAGTTTTTCGCTTGACAGAAAAACGTATTTTCGAAAGAATACCTTGGCCATTTTTACTAGATTAATAACCATAGATGGGAATATTTCGGTTAGTTGTTAAGCTCTAGTAAAAAGATGAAAAATTCATGCGAGGTCCAGGGACACAGGGACATCAAGAAAAAAATATATAGAGAATAAGGTGTTTCATTTTGCTTTCACAATTACGTAAAGAAATGAGTCAAAGTAACGAATTATTCTAGCTGTAAAGCAAAATGAAAAACCGGATTTAAGAGTATAAGAAAAAGGGATTAGTTAGGGAAATCATGCAGGTCACTAGTCGCGTAATTCGTAAATCCCGAAAAAATCCTCTAAAAAACATTGATAATATAAAAATGCGACCACCACCAGAGCACAGAAGCGAGAATTATTTACATCGAATTGATGAGGATGGGCAAAAAATATCGATGTCCTTTGTGACGTGCCCATCTCTAGTCTAGTATAGAGATGGTAGGAAACAAATCTTCTGATTCCCAATCTTCGAAATTTTCATCGATTTGATCCCCGATCGACTACAGAGATGAGCGTGAAATATCGATCAGTTCCTATGGCGTACAATCACTATTTCTAACGATTAGGGCGTAGAGCATAGAGATGGCAATAGAAAACATCGATATTTTTGCAAATAGAATTTATTCTGTAGTTGCCCATCCTTGATCGAGCATGTGAATATTCAAAATCACAACACTCTAAAACCAAAAAACCAAAAGCGATCATACAGTGTGTGTGCGAAAAGCGTTTCAGAACAATTGTGTTCTAGAACGTCACCTAGATCAAATAAACCAGTGGTATGTGGATGAATGATTTTCATCTATATACAATGGGTAACGTCCATGGGCGCCCATATCGGCATAGATATAAGGTAAAACACCGGTTTAGGATCAAATGAAAATTTTAAGGTTTATTCTGACAATTTGCTTTTAGGGCGTCCATGGTAACATCAAGTCGTATTTGTTGCAAAAACGACCTTTGTTGTTTCTACTCCAACACTTGTTCTTAACTTCAAGGATTCAGATTTCAGGATGTTAATCACGCACTCTTTTCAAAGTAGATTTCTAAGTTCATTTTTACATCCTAGATGTTATTTGCTATTTTCATTCAACTGATTATGGAATCAGTTGAATGATACTGTACGCCTAGCTGTATCTCATCGCCAAACAGCAAATAGATAATTTCAAACTGATAACGCACTGTTTAACCAGGCACATTTGCTGATCGAGATAATATTGATCGGTCCGTCAACAATGCACAGTTTGCGTATATCGCCCTGTCATGCTCGAACTATGTTGAACATTTTATCAGTAAACCGCCCCGTCGGCGTTAGCATACATTGTAAAATATTTAATGATTTTGTATGCGCTGTATCATAAAATCATTATGACGATAGGGAGGTGTGCTGTACGATCAAATTGTATTCTGGAGTTGGAATTATTGACTGTTCCAAGCACCGTTATTGTGAATTTTATGGTGTAGGTAGTTTTGATGGAAGAGAAAATTGTACAGGTTGATGCCAAATGGGAGCAGGGGATAGATTTATTGATGAAATGGTTACGTATTTGGTGTTAATGGAATATTTCTATTATTAAGAAACTGTCGAAATGATGGAAGTTTTAAGGATTTTAAGAATAATGGAAAAGGTGTAAATTTTGGAGATTTACAACATTTTGAAAAATGCAAATTTTCGAAATTTCGTATATTTTTATAATTATGAAAATTTTGAAAATATTGACATGAAGTTTTCAAAATATTGGAAAATTTTTTAATTATGAAAATTGCCATAATTTACAAACTGTTCAAAATTTTCAACAATTTGAATGTCATTTGAAACTGAGGGCTATGATATTCTTGAAACTTCCTAAGCTTTCGAAAAAAAAATTAAAATTTTGCAATTATTGAAAATTTTTTAAATTGTGAAGGTGAGACTATACTTTAGCGCATATCGCAAATACTTCATTTCATACTTTAAAATGAAAGATTATGATGTAACTTTTATAGAACTTCGAAGTTGCATTTTGGGTGGTAATACTCTATATATATCTCTCGTTTTATATGCTGTCTTTTGTACAAAAAGCAAAAAAATACAGCATATAAAACAGTATTCTATTCTAGAGTATTACCACCCAAAATGCAACTTTGAAGTTCTATAAAATAGCAAGCAGAGGATTCCTTAAAGAAAAAATGATATTTTCGTACAAGTTACATCCCAATCTTTCACTTTAAAATAAGAAGTTAAATATTTGCTGTATGCGCTAAAGTATAGTTCAGCAATTCTGAATATTGAAAATTTTGTAAATTTTGTAAATTCCTTATATCAGAGAAAGCTTGTGTAAAGGAGAATCAAAAAATGTGAAAATTTACAACGTTTCCATTTATAAATTTTGGGAGATTTTTCATGCGCAATAACCAAGTTATCGAGACTAAAAACTCACCCTGTATAGTTCCAACCTTGCATACGCGCAATTGTATATTGATTATCTATTATTTTATTTACATGCAAATATCTAAGTAGTCATTTTCTCAGACTTTTTTTAACTCAAACGTTAAAAGCGATCTGATGATATAATTATGACCGCTAAAAATTGCTAATATCTCGACCCGTATTTAGAGTGGAACATTGGAGTTTTTCGAGAACTTGTGCACTGTTTTCTGGGCCCCAGAACCCTTTCCGCCTTGATCCGTACTTGATACTGAAATTATCATTATTATATGCTATATTGATACGCGCGTAAGTAGAAACAACATCAAGCTTAACTTGGCCGACATTTTTGCAACAAATACTTACGAGTATTCGTGAGTGCTAGTCATAAGCATTGCTCTGCGATGAACTAACGTGATCTTTTATCTAATCACTTACCTTTGATGTCGTCGTCTTCTAATGTAGTGGAACTGTCCGTGGATTCTTTCACTTGGGATCCGTCGCCTTTTTTCACTATTATACTTCTACCTATAAAAGATCGATATCGTCAGGAGAAGGTCCTTAAATACGTCTTGCTTAGAATCAAAACGGAAATTTATTCAGGTAAAATGATTTAATCGTGGAGATATAAGAGCAAGCGCTGATTGAATCATGGACTATATTAAAGATGATAATTTAGAATAAGTAAAGTGCGCACACAATATAGGCGTCAAATAATGCTTGATTTCTAATCTAGTCAACAGTAACTTAACAGTTTAACCTAACTGATCCTTCAAAAATACTATGGAGAATTTTATATATTAACAAGCCTCTGGGAGAGTTTCCAATATTTTTCTCAAATAAAAAGATTGCAAATGAATAAATAGCCTAAAATAAACCTGATGATATTAATTACTTTCGGGTTTACACGTGACATATCTTAAAATCGCCTACAAACTTTATGTATTTTGTTTAAAACTTTTTTCTACAGCAGGAAGTCTAATTTATTCTCCTCCGAAGTTGTTTTTGATACATTTTTGTTGAAAAAGTAATGTGCGAGGAATTAAACAATAATACCAGCATTATGATGGATGTACGTTAAAGCCGATGTTAAACACCTGATATGAAATAAGCCTTAACCTAATGTAGTGGTGGTGGCGTGAGGTGAGTTGGTGACAGAAATCGTGTAAAAATTATATGTTGTGATCATATGTTTTACATAACCAGAAAAAACATGCATGTAGCCACAGCTTTATACATACTTCATAAAGTATACTACGGTGTCACACATTTCTTTTAAGAAAAACTCATTTTCTAGGTGTTTGGTTTTTACAGAATTTCCTCGCCTGTAGACGTGAAAAGTAGAATTTCCTGTCGATAAAATTGTAAGTATAAAAACATAAGCACCTTCCTAGCCTATTATGGCAGTATCGGAAGCTATAGAACGTTGCTTTTCTATGAAATTCTGTATTGGAAACCAAGTGCTGCAATTTGAACATTCTTATTCTTTGGCCTTGAACCTTCATTTTGTTTTGTTAGAGTCTATTCACCATCAGTTTCTCGCTGAACAGCGAAATCGTTGAGTTTGAAAAACTGCTACAAAAAACGGCATACATCGGTTTTTGCAATTCAGCTCCCCCACAAAATGAAGTGGTTCGACACTTCGTATCTACCTTACAGTATTGCTTAGAAAAGAATCTCTCCATCACTTTTCACTCTTTCCGATTGGTTTTGAGAGTTTTATACCAGAATTTTGGTCTTTGTGTAGCTGTTGTCGATACGAAATGGAGAGTCCCTCCGATAGCCCCAAAATATTAAAAGCTAGAGTATGGACTATGAGTAAGAGATTTGTTGGTATACCGGAAAAATCTGATTTCCATATAATTGTAGAAAGGATACCGGCTTTGAAGACTGGAGGTTAGTACAGTTTCGATAACAACGAACCAATCAAGTCCATTATTCGTTTTCAAAATGCTTTTTACTTCTTAGGCCAAAACTGGCGACGAAATTGCGAAATTATTATCGCGAAAAACTATGTCAGTCATTTCCGGGTTTGTCTGTCCCTAATTTTATAACCGCGTATGACTTGAAAAGTACCGCTCGGATTTTGGTAAAATTTTCACACAAGATTACCGCCAAGCCAAGGATAGAAACGGTTTATAGTTTTTGAAAATCGGTCTCGTGTTGGCTTCGTATTTTGACATCAGTTTCGAAAACCATGTGTCGGAAAATGATTTGGCCTGTCTCTACTAAATTCTTCCTTTGGAACCATTTCTTCTGGATCTTAATGGGCCATTTCTTACTGAGACCTTAGGCTTGGGAGACCTTACTTCTATAGCCTTACTTTGGTCCTTTGCTTTGGCTGTGGACCCCTATTTATTTTTGTCCCACATCTGTGATTGGATCTGACTTTTTGAGGACTGCGAGTCTTTAAGTAGAAAAGTTTATACACTATACACAGTTTAGTAGTAGTCACACTTCAAAAAAAAAGGAATAAACATAAATAGAACATTTTAGAATGTTGGAAATTTTGAAAATCTCAAGGTTATTGAAAATTATTGAAATTTTGGAGATTTTTAGCATTTCGAAAAGTGATCAATTTGAAAATATCGTTGTGTAAAGTTTTGATAAAAAAAATTTTGAATGTATATGTATAAAATTATGGAAATTATGGATATTTTGAGAATCGTCGAAATACACAAATTGTTCAAAATTTTCAAGAATTTGTAATATGAAAAAAATATGCAATTTTTGAGAAATGGGAACATTTTTAAAATCGTGAAAATGTTGGAAATTTTCAAAACTCTGGCGATAATTTTGAAAGTTTTGTAAATTTTGAAAGCAATGAATATTTTGAAAACCTTGGAAATTTCGAATATTGTAAATTTTGGTAAGTGATTTTTGAAACATATGAAAATATTTTTTTTAAATCATGTAAGTTTTGAAAAATTATGAAAATTTTGACATTGGCCAAAATTAGCAAACTGTTCAAAATTTTGAAGCATTTACGAGTTCCTTCCCACTTCAGTTGGCCCACTTCAAGATTTGTACCAAAATATGCCTTTATAAGCCAAACATGACGAAACTATTTACTTCTAAAACAATTTATTTTCTCAAAAACATTTTAGATACACTCTAGTCGTAAAAAATACATATTTGAAATCACTTAGACCTATAACTAATAGAACATCTGAACAAATAAACAATGTGCGAATAAATGCGCGAAGCAACAATTGAATGATTACCATTGGGTAACATCACCTTTATTTTTTATTGCGGCTGAAATTCTTTGGGGCATAGTGTTAACCAAGTTTTGGCAGAAATTTGGTGTAAAACAATCCCATATTTCTTGAAGCTTTCTCAGTTCGGTGATTGTACGAGCAGGATGTTGTCGTAGAACATTTTTCATCTCTTGCCGCAAAGTTTCAATAGGTGACAGATCTGGACTGCTAGAAACCCATTTCAAAAGTGGTACATTATTTTCTTCCATCATATAATATTCCTGTGACTTCCTAAAGAATCTTGAAAATTGTAAGGTTATCGGATATTATTGAAATTTTGGAGATTTTGAGCATCTTAAGAGTGATAATTCTGAAAATTTTGGACATTCTGAAAATTTTGGCAATACAAAAATATATATATTGAAATTTGTGGATACTTTACAAATCGCCAAAATTTACAAAAACAGTAAGCTAATTTTTGAGAAATTTGAAAATATTGAAATGTTGGAAAATTTGTAAATCTTAGAATATTTAAAATTTTTGGAAATTTACACACCATTCGTGTGGCGGTTATATGATTAGTGAACAGATCAACAAACTGACAGACCGATGGAAATGCGTGACATTGTTTTTACGTCATACAACATCCAAAAAACGTAATACCTCATTTTCGAAATTTACAATGATTTAACTGTAAGTCGGCATGAGCTAGAACTTCTTTCTGCATACACCAGTGCAACAGAATACCTACTATTCATTGTGTAAATTGTTTTACAGAATATTTAGCTAAAGCCGTCTACATCAGCATCGACCCACACATAAGAGCCATTACTGATGAGTTACCGGTTGGTTCAGCAATACCCGGCATACAGATAGCTAGGTACGTACTTGTACGTTGAGACCAAACTATTCAATTATCCACTTCTTAAACATACAGTATAATATGTCATTAATTCCATGTTCACATTATAAACTAGTCGATTAAACATCTCCGATTTCGTGCGTTTTCCCTTCATCTGCAAAATGAACATGACCTTGATTTTACCTTGTAAAGGTCATTGTCGCGTAATAGCATAGTGTTTTCTACGCTCTGAGTGCCACATCTGCAGATGCACTACCGCTAGGGCAGAAAAAGAATGTTTATCATGCAATCGTATGGACTTTTTTCTCAGCAAATACAGGGGTCATTTTTTTTCAGTGTGGTTGAAAGTTTAAATGAAAAATTTCCGGTAGGAGCATACGTGCACGGCGCGTTTGGATGGAGAACACTCACGGTGGATGACGGTAAAACTAGATCGGTACCGACATATGTCCTTCCAGCGTTCCTCAAGGACAAGACGTTGGGAATTCCTCATGGACTGTCATTGTTTGGAGTTCCTGGGTAAGCAATCTTCACTTCAAGCAACAAAGTACTTAGCTGTTAATAGAACGAACAGTTTTATACGTATACGATAATCAAGTTTTAAAAAATGATTTTTTTTACTCGAATGATAAAAGTAAAAAAGGTTTTTGAGAGTTGGAATCTGATTTTTTTCAGGCTTGCAGCGTATTTTGGTTTGACGGAGATACTGCGTCCTCAAAAAGGCGATACGGTAGTGGTTTCGACAGTAGCAGGAGGTGTGGGGAACTTTGCGGCGCAAATAGCGAGAAGAATACTGGGATGCCATGTCATTGGAATCACCTCGAAAAGAGCTAAACGAGAGTGGTGTAAGAATCGGACAGGCGTTAAGCAGACCATTATGTACGAGGAACAAGATGTGGTCCAGCAACTCGGTATACTTGCCCCGAGAGGTGTCGACTTTTATTTTGATAATGTGAGTTTGGTTCAAATTGAAATCTTGAAAATTTTAAAATTATTGAAATTTATGGAAATTTTGGGCACTTTCGGGATATTGAAAACAGATCATTATCAAATACTATTGAAATTTTGTAAATTATGACAACTTTGAAAATCGCCAAAATTTAGAAAATGTTTAAATTTTTCGAGAAAATGCATTACTTGATACTTTCTAGAATGTCAAAAAAACAACATGCAAATTTTGATGAATGTGAACATTTTGGAGACTGAAAATTTTGGAAACGTCGGAAACTTTGAAAACTAAAGAATCTTGAAAATTTTGAGAATTTTAAAAATTTTGAAAAAAGACAATTTTGAAAATTTTGTAAATTCTGAGAGAATCGGAAATTTTGAATACTGAAGGTTGAAAACATTGTAAATTCTGAAAATAATGAAAATATTGGAAATTTTGAATAGCTAAAATTTTATAAACCCATAATTGCGAGTAGTGAAATTTTGAGTGTTTTTTCAATAGATTGTCTAATATCTCGACAATCTGAAATATAACCCGTTATAAACGTAAATTGCTTTGTTTAAAAGTGCCTATCCGAATCTCTAATAAAATATAGGTCTTTTTACTTAAAAAATCTATGTAGCTACGAATACCCTGAACAAATTATTTTCCAAGTAAGGAGCGTGCTAGTGGCGACAGCTTTTGTGTATCGATTATTATATACACCTTAGGAAAAACCATTGTTATACATGGGAAATCATTTCTTGGCAACAGAGCATCGGCTCGTCTACTTTCATCGCTATTCGTACATATTTCCTACCGTTAACCGCAGACCTGTATCACGAATGAAAATAATAGGCAGATGCGCTGTGTTGCCAATTTGAGTAGAGCTTCCCGAATTGTGGGGAATTTAGAGTTAAGTTTTGATTCATTCAAGCTTTTAATCAGCATGGCCTAGACGTTAGAACTTCATAAAGATAACATTGAAGCTGAATGCTGCTGGAGTATAGTGTTTCGAATATTCAAAGCGGAGCGGGACACTATACTCGTTCAATGGGTCATCAAGCCACAGTCTTTTCAACAAAGAAATTATTTTACAAAAATGCGTTATATTTTTACGATTGTGTCGTCACCAAATCTCTGTTTCTCAAAATGTACGTCTATTGTAGAATTTTCAGCAAACTAAGCAAGAAACGTGATCTAGTATTTACTCAACATTACGGATTTCTCGAAATACATTAAAAAATGTGACCTAGATACCTAACTGCCCCAAGCTCTTTAAATATAACACCTTAAACCAGGGTTACCAGGTGCTCAATCACGTTGATTGTCATGTTGTACTGCGCAAGTATTGCCAGATTCCCGAATACCGGGCACCATAGTAACCGTTATAGTTGTCCTTCAAAGTTGTCAAATCGCCCCTATGGCGCAAATTCGCCACACCAGGCGACTGTGCTATAAACAAACCCTGTTTATCACTACTATTTGATAGTCATATGGTAGTTGTAGCCCTATCTAGCGGTCCATGATTTCTCTCAATACTGTTGTATCTCTACTGGCAACAAGAATAGGGATTACAAAATCATTTATACAATTTACAAACATGAAAAATGTGATTTGAACCATGAAACATTAATACAATTTTAATAGTTTGAACTTTTTTCATTTTGGGATACTCTTATGTGGAATCCGCAGCTATTTTTCCCGAAATTTGGGTAGACTTAGATTTCGTAGAAATATGACATATTGGTATCGGCAACTTTGCGAATGGGAGAAACAAATCGCATTTGTTGAGCGCATCCGTCTAAGCGGTAGGCGCCAGCGCCCGTTCTGCGATCTCTCTCTTTGATCACTCTTCTACTTTACGCCGTTGTCCGTCACTCTCCGACGCTGCCACATAGAATCCTACAATCGAGTGTCTTTCACGCACCTACATACTTTTGTATATTTCCATCTCTCTTCCTCATCATAATGTATAATAATGTTTTTTCCCAAGGTGTATGTATTATTTACATACAAATATCAGTTTAGTTATTCTCACAGCCTTAAAGAAGTGAGTATAACATTTTGATATTTCAGGTTGGTGGAGAGATATCCGATGCTGTTATATCATGTATGAACAAAAAAGGAAAGATAGCTCAGTGCGGGGCAGTCTCAGGATACTGCAGCAATAACTCTGGTAAGATACAGCGATAATCAAAAGTAGATGCACGTATTTCTGTACCAAATTATCACAACAAGGAATCAGAGTCCATAAGAACGTATTTATGAAATGTGTGTATGTATTTTTTTCTATCAGAAAACTTGAAGTATCGTTTTCGTTTCAGCCCAACTGAACCAATTGGAAATAGCGAAGAGGCAACTGAAAGTCGAAGGTTTCCAGGTCAACAGATGGAAAGGCAAATGGATTGAAACTATCGACCAATTGTACGATTATTACTCTGAAAGAAAACTGAAAGTTACTCCGCCGGTGCGCGCTATAGGTTTCGATTATATTCCGCGAGCCTTCATTCATCTGTTCCACAGCTTTAACGTTGGAAAAGTTGTTGTTGAGATTAGGTGAACATTATAATTATACTTGATGCGGTTATACTGTTTATTCTATTACTATTATCAATGTTATTGCTTTTCAGGGTATATATTCTTGTTAGTGGATAATAAAGTTTCTGTAATGATACTGGATACTCAATTTATTATAAAATTACCAGACTATGGGTTTTCAATTAAGAAAACTGTCTTCACCTTCAAATCAGCAAGGTCACGTTCACGGTCACTATTAGATAGCCTTACGAGTTTATCACACAATAATATTTTGGAAGCGAATTTTGAAAAACTTTGGAAACATCGAAAATTTTGGAAATTCTGAAAATTTCAGAAATTAGGGTATTTTGTAAATTTTGGAAGTTTTGGAATTTTGTAAATTTTGAAAATTTCTGAAATTTTTGATATTTTGTAAATTTTGGAAATGGTTGAAATTTTGGAAATTTTGGAAATTTTGAAAATTTTGGAAATTTTGGAAATTTTGGAAATCTTGGAAATTTTGGAAATTTTCGAAATTTTCGAAATTTTAGAATTTTTTTTTAATTTTGGAAATTTTTTGCAATTTTGAAAATCATCTAAATTTACCGAATTTTGGATATTTTGGAAATTATGTAAATTATGAAAATATAAAGTGAAAAGTTACAAACTCATGAACATTTTGAAAATTGCCAAAATTTACGAATTTTCAAGAATTTGAAATATCTGAAACTGAGGGCTATGGTATTTATGTTATATTTTGGTACAAATCTTGAAGTGGGCCAACTGAAGTGGGAAGGAGCTCGTAAATGCTTCAAAATTTCGAACAGTTATGTTTTTCAACGTCGCCTAGGCAAACTAAAAATAATGCGGGGCATAGTATAGAGCCTTAAGGAAAATGTATGAGGCAATTTACTTATTAAGTAAATTCTTTTAGTCCAATTTCTTCTGGAAGTAGTACAAACTAATCTGATGTACCTATTAAAGTCTACTTTAAGCTTTAAATCAATATATCTTCAAAACTACTGAACTGATGTACATTAATTTTATATCATTATAAAGGGAATTGAAAGACCTTTAAAATAAGGTAGGTATCACTCGCACCCCCTTTCCATTTAAGATTTTGGGGGTGGTGTCACCACGTACTAACGTGATTTTTTGCCAAACTTGTGTCCGCCTCGAAAACAAAGTCGACGGGCCTGAGCGTTTTTCCAAAAAAAACTGGGCTGCCAGTAAATGCGTCTGTTTCGTTTTCGATGCGCCACCCTGTATAATTGCCTTCGTTACAAGGTAGGTCATTGATAAGAATGAGAAACACCACGGGAGCCAGGACTGAACCTTGATATAGTAGTATTTTTCTGTTTTCGTAAGAAAAATTGATTTAAAAAGAACAAATTATTCTCTGCAAAATAAGATACTATTTGGGCCACGAGGCATTCTCAGAAATCATGTGAAAAGGAATAACAACTGCTGGTAAATATGTTCTTGTCAAAGTGCAGATTCATCAACTTTGTCAAGGGTTCTACAATCAAGTGTCTATTTTTTTATCAACGTAGTGTTCATACCATATCTTCCCAATTTATGTTTCAATGAATGTATACGATCTCTAACTATATTAAATGATAATTTTTACGTTTAATAGCCGAGATTAAATTCAATTCAGTGTCCGAATCTCATTGAGAGAAGTTTCTTTTCCAGCAACTGTACAGAAGAAATCGTTGAATCTTTTGAAATATCTGTCGGTGTATCATCAGTTAAATTCCTTGTTCTTTTAACAATGCTTTTTGTTGGATTGCTTGATCTCTTGATCATCTGTTCATTGTAGTTCGGTCGTTCTATAACTTTTTCCGAAAGCAATTAAACTGTTCCTAGGATAGTCAGTCTTATTCGGATTACATAAGGAGTTTAGACAGTTTAGTTGCTATCTCATAGCTTAAAACCAGTTTGCTGAATAAAATACAAATTTCCCATTATTCCTCGTATTCTCTGGAAAGACCTCATAGAAGATTTACAATCTAAATCTTATTCTTAATATCCAATATTAACTGGCCTTGGGACCTCACGTCGTCGTCTTGTTAGACTCTTTTCGTTGACTTTGAAAAACTGTTACAAAAAACCGCATACATCGCTTTTTGCAATTCACTTCCCCCACAGAATCACGTAGTTTCACAATCTGTATCTACCATCACATCTCTTTCTGATTAGTCTCGAGAAGGCAACAAGTTTCAAACCAGCGTTTTGCTCTTTGTGCAAGTCTTGTCGGTACGAAATGGCGAGTTCCTCGCACTGCCCCACCAAAGTATTAAAAGCTAGAGTATGGACTATGAGCAGTCGGTTCATCGGTGTACCGAAAAAAACCGATTTCAAGTTAACTGTAGAAAGGATACCGGATTTGGACACTGGAGGTTAGTGCAGTTCCGATTACATTTCAATCGGTCATTTCAAAAACCAATTATTTTCTCAAAATGAACATACCTGGTCACGATTCGATTTCGTATTTTGCAACGATTTACTCATTCCTTGTCTTTGAAACCCCAAGAAGTATGTACATGCGTCTTCTGGTTATACAGGATGGATAGGCTCTAAGAGGTTGGAGGCCGTATGTAAAAGGGCGGTAACCCAAGGTTAAGGTCTAAGGTCTCAATGACTGTCAAGAGAAGCATTTCAGATTTTGGCATAAAACTCGTTATGCCATTTTCAAAGAGTGGGGTAACTTTCGATAGTTTTAAATATAATAATTTTGTTAATGGTATAAGAATAAGGGTTTGAATGGTTGTAATAATTTTTTTTTCAGAATATTTGGCTGAAGCGGTCTACATCAGCGTCGACCCACACATAAGAGCCATTTCTGATGAGTTACAGGTTGGTTCGGCCATGCCCGGCTTACAGATAGCTAGGTACGTACTTTTACATTAAGACTAAGTTCATATTGAGATATTTACGTTCTCCTCGTCTGGTCAGTCTGCGAACCGGGTATGTCTTTCGAAAAATTGCTTTCTATGAAGTTGAATAGCGGCCTGCGATTCGGGACATGCAGCATCACATTTCCAACGGTCTGATACCCGAATGTGAACTCTTTCAAAGCGCATGCGTTTTCAAAAGGCTGGTATCAAGCTTGATCTCCTACGCAGGTATTTGAAGTATGACACTGAAAAACTATTTGAAAATCTTGCACTGTCACAGCTCTCGTACCTTACATCTATACGAGGTGTTAGGAAAATACTATTCGTAACTTTAAGAGGTGAGTGAGGAGTGAGAAAATTTGAGACAGTGTCACATAAATATCGTGAGCTGGGTGTTCAAAAAATAGAAGAGCTACAAAAAATGCATGTATTGACCTTGACCCATAAGGTAATCACAACACAAGCCCCTCCATATCTATCAACCAAATTTATCAGATACTCGGATGTTAATCAACTGAACACAAAGAATAAGCATATTTTGGTTATCCCGAGACATTCAACATCTCTATTTAAAAGGTCGTACGTATATACTGCTATCAAGCTATACAACGCGTTGCCTACCGAGTTCACTCACTACTCGATAAAGAATTTCAAAAAAAGATTGAAGAATTTTATCTCTGATTCCATTGCCCAGTAAGTAGACCATGGCCATGAATAAGGACTCGTTACAGGTTTTTTTTTAACTCTTAATTTCATTGGGATTAGAAAATATACATCAATATTTGTTGGGTTAAGTTGAAAAACGCTTTTTAGCGACACTTCGCCTTTTTATACTTTGTATAAATAAAGCCGGATTATTATTATTAATATTCCTTGCATTATTCTAAGCAAAACAGTTCATTATAACCTATGTCCGAAAATCGCAACACACAAATGTCGGTCACAGATTTCAGTCGAAAATTCAGAAGAAACTTGGAAGGGATACGAGACGTGGACTGAGATATCTAAGTGACATATAAATCCGAACACCCAGTTTAAATGGTTTTATTTTAATTAAATTTTGTATAAGTACTTAATGAAGCATAATAAGTGAATGATGAAAATTTCAAAATGATTGCACTGCTTTAAAGCCCTTTGACCTTTAATAATGTGTGGATGCACCCTGATGTGCTACGCATTCTCCAACGCGCCTAGGCATGCTTCTGATCAGGTGGTCAATGTCCTCCTGTGGTATCTCATTCCAGGCCACCACCAACTCCTCTCGTAGTGCTTCTAGAGTCTGAGGAGGACGTTGCGAATTGAGCAATCTCCTACCCATCATATCCCACACGTGCTCAATTGGGTAAAAGTCGGGAGATCTTGGTGGCCATGGTAACAATGTGACATCATTATGTTGAAAGAAGTCTATTGTGACTCTTCCAGCATGTGGTCGGGCATTATCTTGTTGGAAAGTTGGATCTGTCAGGGTGTCAAGATAGGGTAAAAGATGGGGTTCTAGAACTTCGGGGATATAACGCTGCGCGTTCATGTTACCTCTGATCAAAATTAAAGGTGACCTGGAACCTTAAGCTATAGCACCCTAAACCATAACTCCAACAGTGTGATGAACATGTCTTTCAACAAAAAACTGTGGATTCCTCCTTTCACCACGTCGCCTTCTAACCCTTGCACGACCATCGTGCATGCCTAAACAAAATTGAGACTCGTCACTAAAGACAATACTGTTCCATTCCTGATCCCAGAGTGACCGTTGTCTGCACCACTCAAGGCGATTACGTCGGTGTTCTCGAGTTAAAGGGAGGACCCAGTGTGGCCGGTATGAAAACAAGCCAAAACTTCTCATTCGTCGGTAAACACTTCGCATGCCAATAGGTCTTCCGTGTTCTGCAAACCATTCATTTGCAATGGACCTGATAGTGGAGAAACGGTCCCTTCAGGCCAATAATCTTAGGCGGCGATCTTCACGGTCTGTTGTTCTACGGCGGCGTCCGGTGCCCCTTGCTCTTTGCATACGGCCTTCTCGAAGCCATGCCTGACAATACCTAACCACAGTGTCTACACTTCTTTGCACTCTAGCTGCAATTGCCCGAAAAGAAAGTCTCCGTACTCTAGGCATCGTAACCGATCGTAAAGGATGTCAAGAACCAAAATCCGCCAACGTTGATTCTTTACTGCTGCTAAAATATTCATTTTTAGAGCGTTAGTGAATTCAAAAAAAGCAGTATAAAAACCGGAATGTCCAACTGATAAGGCTGAAAATTTTTTCACTTGTTATTTACAGT